TTAAACCCAAGCTGCTCCACATAGCTCCCGGCCTCGTTTGGATTCCGCTCGGCCGTGGCTCCCGACCACGGGGCTCTGCCTCCTTCCTGGCATTTCCCTGGATTATGTCTGTGCTGCGCCATTGCATTGAGATTAAGCTTGTTTGACTCCAAATTCAGCTGCTCTTTGCTCGACCAGCCCTGCTCATGTTGCCTTCATTCCCTGAGAAGTGGCAGGAGGGCTCAGTTCCATTTCCAATGCTCGGCCCCCAGAGCGGGATCGAGCGGAGACAACGCTTTGGGGAACATTCTTTGGACAAAAACCCTCACGTTGAAGCCACACAGGCTGATTTCTGGGATCAACTCCCCAGTGGAAACATTCCCAATGGCTTTAAGAAGGACAAACCAGTATTAGTGGACCTAAAATGAGACTGATATGCAATCCTGGGGGCAGATGTTCGCTCCTCTGCTCCAGCCCAGAGAACAGGTAGGATTTCCCAGTTTGGGAAGTGTCTCGCTCCAAGTGCTGGAGAGTCAGGAATGCTGAGAGCTTTTGAAGTGTGGCAGGAGCAGCTGGCAGAGAGGAGCCTGGGGTGAATCCAACTCCAGTTCAAAGCATCAATCCCTCCTCCGAGTCACTGCACGGGGCTGGAATAAAAGGATCTCAGGAAACAGCAGAGCCCCAAAGACAAACAGTGCAAGACATGAAAGATTGAAGGAAGGAGCAGCAGGAGTGAGAGCAAAGCTTCTCTCCCTCACCCCAGAAGGACTGGTTGTAGCTCAGTGGGATGTGGATCAAGAAAGAACAGGATTGTCCTTTCTTTCCAATTAAAACAGATTGATTATAAGCCAACAGTAAAAAGAGAGGCCAATCCTTCCACATCCAGCTTTGAGTACAGAATCACAGGAGGGTTTGGGTTGGAGGGACCATAAAGCTCATCTGGTTCCACCACCTGCCATGGGCAGGGACACCTTTCACTAGCCCAGGTTGCTCCAAGCCCTGTCCAACCTGGCCTGGGACACTTCCAGGGCTGGGGCAGCCACAGCTTCTCTGGGCAACCTGTGCCAGGGCCTCCCCACCCTCACAGGGAAGAATTTCTTCCCAGCATCTTCTCTAAATCTGCACTTTTCTGGTGGGAAGCCATTCCCCCTTGTCCTGTCCCTCCAGGCCCTTGTCCAAAGTCCCTCTCCAGCTCTCCTGGAGCCCCTTTAGGCACTGGAAGGGGCTCCAAGGTCTTCCTGGAGCCTCTCCCAGCCTGTCTCCAGAGCTGAGGGGCTCCAGGACGTGGAACATCTCCATGGCCTTTAATGTTCCACATCATGATCCACATCCAGCTCCAAAGCGAGGACAGGAAGGAGGGAGGTGACAGATGTGAAGGTGGAGCAGGAGCAGGAGCAGGAGCAGGAGGGAGCAGGGACACCCCTGGCAGGGCTGGACCCCCCAGGACTCCCAGGACAGGGAGGGCCATACCTGGAGAACCTCCCGGGGCCAGCAGCAGATGGAGGAGCACGGAGAGAGAAGCTCAAACACATCCTATTGCACAGGACTTTCACTCCAGAGGCTCTCAGGAAACCCAGCTGCTCTCCTGCAGCTTCTCCTCCCATGGGGGCTCCACTCCCAGCACCGATCCAGGCTGGAAAATCCAGGCCCCAAACACCACATCCCTTGTGCCTGCAGCTGGAGAACACAGGAACTGACAGACCAGCTTAAGAAAATGATTTTTTTATTTCTTTTTTTTTTTTTAATTATTTCTTTTTTCCCTTTTTTTTTTTTTCCTCCTGAATTTCTGTTGTTTACAGATATGTTTTATTTCTCATAATACAGCTTGGCAGCAATTGAAAAAAAAAAAATAAATCCCACTGCAGCTGAACTAAACCCCATAAATACCAGCCCAGAAAACAATGGACAACCACCAATATTTCTATACAGGAACTATTATTTTAATGTCACATTTTGACAATGGTAAATGATCTACAGACTGTACGTGGGCAAAAGGCAAGAAGTGAGTCTTTTGAAACACCAGATGGAGAATAAACAGCTCATTATCAACATTTACATGATTCACATCAAATTGATGACATCCTAAATGTATTCCTTTTAAAGGATAGAAATTTTTCAATAAAATATTACATTTCATTTAATACTCTGGTACAATACTTCATACATTGCAGGAAAAAAAAAATAAATGCAAGGTCTACTCCACCTAATAAGAGGATCCTTTTTCATTAGTCTTTAGTATTGTAATAAAAAAAAAAATCACAATAATGTCATAAATAAACAGGCTCGAAATTATTAATTATGTTTCACTATTGAAAAGGGAGAAATGACAAATTAAGTTGCAATAATGAAGCTATGGGTAGAAAAATCAAAATCTGACAACACATTCTAGTACCAGCTGTGAATTCTCTCATCCCTACAACAAAAAAAGAGGAAACAGGTTTTGCATCTTTGTTAGCTGTGTCCTAGTTAATCGTGTTTCCAACACATATTTTAAGAGGGAAAAGTAAAGTTTGGTCAGGATTAATAGGAGAACCAATCAGGCCTAACAACAAGTTAGCTGAAATTAAAGTTTATGCTCTAAAACATTCAGTAAATGAAGCCTGCAGCAAATTGATGCTGGCATAAATTATTGTGCCTTAGGAGTTGGGGTAAATTTCCCTTGTGGAATAAAGTCTTCTCCAAGAGAACACTTCAGCCCTGCATCCCTTTTCCATTCACTGACACAGAACAGGCTTGGAAACCAATGTTCAAAATGGAATTCTCTAAAAAAAAAACCTCACTAGAAACACATGAAAGCCACATTCACTGATCCCCCAACCAAAGGACGTTGCTCTTTTTTTGCTTCATCCGCCAGAAAGCCCAGCTTGAGATTTATTTGCTTACAATAATTTAAATTATTTCTCTTAATTACCCTTAATCTCTTCATTATTTTCCTTGAAGAACCTCTCACTGCTGTGGGGAAAGGGGACAGATTTTCTGGTGCATTTTCTGGTCTCCCCCCTCTGGTGTCACCAGGGCCCGACACTCCAGGGCAGAGAGGAGAATTTATTTATTCCCAACCTTTCAGATTCTGCTCCTCCCTCCTCGCTGACCTTCTCCCACCATATGCTCCCCAGGATTAATACACATTCTGCAGCAAGAATTTCCTGCTTTTAAGGACAAAAATTCAAAATAAACCCCTAAACAGCTCAAATGAGGTCACGAGGCAACTTCATGTTGGCCATGAACTGATTGCTGCTTACACAAGTCAATCTTTTAAGACACAACACGTGAACTGAGTTCAGCCAGTGGAGATTGCCTCAGGATCCTTCCCTCCCTTCTCCTGACTTCCCAGTTTGGAGCAGAGCAGCTCCTGGGAAGTGCAGGATTTGCTGAACTCTGCACCAAGTTTGAGGCAAATATTTAACTGCTCTCTACAAACACCAGCACTTCTGTCTGATCCCTGTTCAGCAGGAGGAAGCTGGAAAGAGGGACACAGAGGAAGCAGGTGATGGAGAACAGGCATCTCCCACCAACATTAACAGATTCCTGTCTCATCACCATCTATGCAGATCTAGAAAGGGCACAAGTATTTATGACTAGAGTATAAGGCTATGCCAGTAGAACACTGTTATCTTATGGTATGCTGGTGACAGGAGTTCCAAAAATAAATCCCGAAGCCCCAAGAGACAAAAAGGACAAGAGGCAAAGTAACAAAAATTCTGCTTAACATTAACGAAGCACCTTCATTCAGTTCAAACAAACTGTTCAAATATTTGAATTTGCAAAGCACTCTCAGGAAAAAGGTAATGTAATCTCGCACTTAACCTTTCACAAAGCTGTATTAATTACATTCCAGGCTTCAGCAGAATTCCACCAGGAAGGCCAATAACACAATTCCATCGGCCCCGTTTCCCCGCACGCAGCAGTTTGTGCAGTGTCACCCTGTGCACGGAAAGGGAAATCATTCCTCAACACCCCTGAAGTCACAGAACTTCCCCAAAACCATGGGAAAAGGTGCTGATGGCACACCAGTCCCCACTCCTTGGGATCCAAGGGGACTCCAGGTCCAGGGAATTGGACAGGGCAAAGGAAACCCAACCAAAGAAGTGGCAGCTCAGCAGACCTTCCTTCTGGAGTCTCTAAAGAGGCTTTTGGCTCATTGACAATCAGAAGTGGTTTCAGATTAACGTGATTTTTCATGGGGACAGCAAGTTCCAGGCAGCTCCAAAAGGCACTTGGGGTGGGAGGGTGACAAAGTCCCGCCTGGTGACACCCGGCGTGGCCTCGCCGCTGCTCCCGCTGCCCTGTCCCACTAAGGCAATTCCAGAGGATTTTTCCATGCACTGCCTTCCCCACACAACTGCACTTTAGCCTTTTAGACCAGCACAAAGCCTTCCTAAAAATCCAGAAGGCTGCCCAGCTCCCACCTGCCCTGCAGAAGGGAAGGAGGTACCTGACCCCAGGGGAGTGCTGGGGTTACTGGTTTCACTGGTTTATTGTGCTGCCGAGGTGTCATCATGCAACTTTTTAAACTACCTTAACTCTACAAGTTCAGTCTCTTGTTTAATAGATGAACACAGACTAATTAACACAGACAGTGTCCTCACAAAACCACTCAGGTCTCCTGAGAGAAACAGCAACTTTCTATTCTGGGTGGAGAGATCATGGCAAAGAAACTTCGTTTGATGTAAAAAGCCAGAATTACTCAAAAATAGCCCATCCAGCCACTCAGCTAAGTCAGAATCAAGCCACCAGTTATCACAAAAAGCACCTTCATATCAATAACTGCTCACCCCAGGAAGCTCAGTCTGAGTTTGAAATGTATCAGGACTAATTTGATCATGCAGTTGATTCGTTCCCGCTGGTGATCCGCCCTTTCCCAACAATCAAGTATTGTTCCCATCAGGATTTGACATTAGTGTAACGGATTTAACGTCACTGCTCTCCCCTCACCCACCCCCAACCCCTCCCCCTCCCAAAAAACCCCACAACTGCTCAAATAAGGAAAAAAAAACCAAAAAACACTAAGAACCATACTGTGAAACAAAAACACTATTTAAAAAACACATGGATGACAGTCCAACGGTTTGCAGGATTCGGAAGTGACTCTACAAAGTAGCTGTCTACGTTGTAGAAAGGATTTCCTTTTATTTGGAAAACGAGCAAATCAGGTATTGGAGAGAAGAGATAAAACCCAATCTTTAGATGGTCTGAAGTTTTGCCTACTGGTGAAGGATTACAACCGTAAATAAAAAGGTACCAAGCCCTCAGAGTTCACTGTTCTTGTGAAGCTTCTTCCGTCTCTTTCTTGACCTTTTTAAAAACCAGATTAATTTCTGGGGAAAAAAAAAAAAAAAAGGGTGAATTATTTAGGAAAAAGCTCAGCAGTTATTTCTTATTCTGACATTATAGAGGAGTGCTCAATTTTGACTGGAAAAAGGCTTAAACTAAACCCAAAGTCTCAAACCTGGCTTAGAAACTGTGTGAGGCCTTGGCAGTAGAAGGTGAGATCATTACAATTAAATTGAAATTAGCTCCTGGAAATTAGGCAGGCATAAATTAGAAGCATTTTGGGCATTATTGTGTGTTGTATCTTCCCCAAAGTCCAGGCTGGACACCCCCCTACCCTGAGCACACACACCTGCCTTGGCATGGAAGGCTCTGAACATCATCTCATCTGAAACTCTTCTGCTGTTGCATCAGCCCCACATTTTCATATACTCTAGCACTATCTTCTCTCATTCTGAAATGAAACAAAGATTTAGAGTCCCGAGAATCCAGTCTGAGTTCAAAACAATGTATTGCTCACACAATATAATTCAGTGACAATTATTTTGCTCAATCTGTTTGCAGAACAAAGCCCAAGGCGACAGCCCAGGGCAGGTTCTGGGAGAGCTCAGCCTCATGTGAGGTCCCTGATGAGTCAGTAGAGCTCAAAACTTCCCCAAGAGCAGAACTGAACTTACTCTGGACAGGTTGGGGTCGGGGTGCAGGGCGGGAGAGGGCTCTGATCCCCACTCGTCTGGTCCGATAAAGAATATTTAATGTTCGTGTACTCGTGACCTTTCCTCTTGCTCTTCTGTGAAGCAAAACACACCAAAAAGCCAGGTTTGGAATTAACCATGGGAAACAGTCATTGGAGCAGTGAAGCAATCACATGAGTAACTAAGCAAGGATGGTTTTAGAGGGCAGGTTTGTGAGGAGACACCTCAGTTTGCAGACACACGAACACGGAGAAGACCTAAAGGTTGGCTTGAGCTATTGATTACAAGACCTGAAAACCCTCATTTTTCCACATTCCCCTTTCCACCATAACATCCCAACCCTATGAACCAGCACTTGTACTCAACCTTCTTCTTCTTTGGCAGAAGAAACCCCACTTTCATTCTTTAGCAGCCAGTGGGCTCCCCACTGACCTCATTTCCAGCTTGGAGATGTGGCCAAGGGAGTAACAACGCTGTTTGCAGGATCTCCAATAAAATAATACCTGAGCCCATTAGGTTTGATATAAAAAGCAGCCAAGCTGTCATTTGGATGGGGCAGCATATGCTCCAGGCTGCAGCCAACTCTGCTGGCACCGAGCTCGAGATCCCGACGCTCCACGCGGGAACTACGCTGGGAAAGGGAGGGGATGTGGAGCTTTCCCTTTCCACACAAATATTCACACAGTGAATACACCACAGCACGGGGATTCAACTTTTACAGGGTACTGGGGTTGATTTTTTGTGTGGATTTGAGCTCCTTTACTGCTCCACCAAGTCCTGAGTAACTGGCCTGGCCCAATCTCACACCAGCAGAGGCTGTCGGAGCCTCCCGGGAGTTCTGGCTCCTGAATTCCCATTAAGAACATTCCTATGGCAATGCAGGTTGAGGCTTTTCCAAAATGCCCTTCTGAAACATGGTCAGAACTTGCTCAGTTTGTTCTAGTGTTTCATTGAACTTCTCCCCTCTCTGCTTTTTCTCACTTTCAAACAGACCCCCGAGTCCTGACCGATTACCTGCTAAAAAATAACATTTAAAGGAACTGCAAAGGATCAAACTCTCTGTATTTTATAGTGTCATGGCTACAAACCATAAAAAATGCCTAAAAAATATTCTGGAGCCCCAAAGTAGGGCTGGATTTCTACCCAAACTGCACACTGAAGGGCAGTTCAACTTCAGGTGTGCTGGGCGGTAAAAGCAATTTAAAAAGAACCTGTCGGGTCTTCTATTTCTTAAACTGACTGAAACAGATAAAAAAGCCAAGAAAAAGTAGGTATCTGGCTTCTCCTCCTTCCACTTAATTCCCTGTAATCATGCTTCCTAATTCAGAGTATCAGGAGTATCTCTGGGGAGGGATGCAGCTCCTAACAGATCCTGCTGGCTGTAAATTCCACAGGACAGGACAGGTAATGTGACTTCCCAATTCCTTTTCAGAGCTGGTTGAGCTCATCCAGATGGGAAGCAGAGGGGGAACAGGACCCCACGCTGGCCCCTACAAAGGGGCTCTCTAATTGTGGGGTTTTCCCCAATTTTCACTCTTTGCAATTAAAGCAAGCGCAGAGAAAAAAAGGTTCCAGAAATTCAGGTTTCTCAAAACCCAGCATTTCATTCCCCAGTGGGCTGAAATTCCAGCATTCCCTCAATGAGACATTTCTTCTCTGCTCTCTCAAAACATGCTCTGGAGCATTCCCAGCTCCCCATGTTCCTGCAGACACCACAAGCTTTGCTTTGGGCTGAGAAGTTTGTTTTGGTCCTGCCACCAGTTACGGGTCAAGACCTCCTGAAATCAAGCAACGTTTTATTTCCAGCTCTGTAAATACCTGAGCCTTTCTGAGCTGGCAATGGATGAACCACAAGGGAGCCTCATCACTGCTCCTCTTGACACCCAAACACCACTCAAACCCCACCCCAGCAAGACAGGCAGAGTTAAAGCCCTGCTTTGTGGCTGCTACAGCACAAAGGGGCTCAGAGGCTGAGGCTGCAGAGCTCGTGAACCTCCACACACACACACGGACACCGAGGAGAGGGCAGACAGCAAAGCCACGGGAAAAAATCCACCTGAGGGATTGCTCGTTCTTCACTTTGAGTCCAATCACCATCAGAGCACACAGCAGTGTCCTGGGGAGAGCAATCAAGGCTCCATCCTCTCAGTGAACAGGGTAAATAATCAGGCAGGGAAACACGACCTCAGCTCTGCCACTCTGCAGAGAGCCAAGGCTGGGCTGGGACACTCCAGCCCTGAGCTGGGATTGACACCTCACACTGGCACTAAACTGGCCTGGGGGTTTGTCTCCCCAGCAGCAGAGACAAAGATACTGAAATTCTGAAACAAAAAGGTAAAAAATCCCAGATGAGCAGAGGTCAGGGCACAGAACAGAATGTCAGTTCTTGATTCCAAACCGGGTGACTCCTGTAAAACACCGTGTAATTTGAGTGAAGGAATTACTTCTAACAGGAAGGGTGAGGTGAAGGGCTTGTGGTTGTCACCACTTATTCCAAAGCCTTTCCCATCTTATCACACCAAATCACTGCTGTAAGTGCTCTTTGCTGGACACTGCACTGCAAAATCACCACTCATCCCTCAGCCTTTCAGTCTCATGTACTGGTTTCTTGCTTAATAAGCTCCAAAATTGGAATTAGAGCGACCAGCATTTGATTATCTTGTCTTAGAAACACAGTTAACAGATTTGCAATCTCTTTAAAACACAACAGATCATGAGGTTCTGTATTAATTAACAGACCTTTATCTTTAATTCTTCTTGCACGAGAAATTAGGTAATATTAAGGAAATTTGAGATCAGGGTGCAGGGGCTGGGGACAGGGAGGACAGGAGAGGATTCCATTTAGTAATTTAAGGACAGGATTCCACCTAATAACTTCAGTCATTCTTAAGCACAATGAAGTAAAATATAGAAGAGGGTTCCCAGGTTCAGACCCAGCCTTTCCATCACACATTGGTTTAGCAGCCAAGCCTCTAAAAATCACAGGCAGCAAACAAGCAACTCTGCTCCCTGCTGAAATGCTGGTTTATATTTATTCCAGTAAATAATTTGATACTCAGGACAAACAGACCTGCTCCTCCTCGATCCTGCGCTGGAGGGTTTCGATGTAGTGCTGCACTGCCATGTAAATAAACCTGTACTGAGCCTCTGTCTGCACCATTCCTGATCTCTGGGATCTCACCATCTGGATGGTCTTTGGAACATCGATATCACAGTCCACACCTGGGAGAATCAGCACGGCATTAAAACAGTAAAATAAACACACCAGAAGGTTGTAAATCACTGGGATCCTCTGTCAGCACTCCTGTGGTTTGATCTGATGTTTCTGTCAAAGTCCCACGGGAAAATTAAAGGGGGGACCCACCTTTTTCTCTGATGATGTCAATAAGAATATCAATCACAATGAACGTTCCTGTTCGGCCAATCCCAGCACTGGAAAAAGAGGAAAAAAAGAAGTTTTTTGTTCTGCCTTTTCTGAACAGACCCCAAAACAACAGCCCAAGGAAGAGTCTCGTGTTAGGCTTCCAAATTATAGCCAGAGTTAAACCACACAGTGACCAGAGAGCTCATCAGCCTAACGTGGAAGAGACAGAATTCAGGAGCACTTTTGTACCTCAGCACAAAAAAACATCCTTGAATCAGAAAAAAACCAATAAAGTCAGATCTAAGATATCCTTGCCTTATAAAAAGTCTCTCATTTATAAGCCCAAACAGAGGAGAGCCCTCCCAGGTGAGAGGGGATACTAAAATTTTCATTATCCCGCACCTGACTCCCACCTTCTCACTCAACACCAGAAATCCTCATTTACACAAACAAGCTCACTCTGAAAGTCACCTGCTTCAGGTGACACCCATCCAGAACACGACATGGTGCGAAACAGAAAGCAAAAGCACCTGGCCAGATGGAATTCTGAGCAGTTCTGAGGGAAAGTTGTCCTTTTTTTAAAGGTTTCGGCTCCCCAGGCCAAAGGGAGGGGCGGCAGGAGCAGCTCAGCCCATCAGCTTACCTGCAGTGGACCACGACGGGTCCGGCATCAGGAATGCTCTCCTGCTTGTGGTGCACCTCCTCCAGGAAGTCCAGGACGCCGCCAGGATCACTGGGAACGCCGTGGTCGGGCCAGGTGCGGAAGTGGTACTGCCACACTGTCCTCTCCGTGTTCCCCTGGGAGGGACAAGGCACGGAAACAAAACCCTTCAGAGCAGCCCCAGCTAAAAGAGCATTTATGGGGCAAAGCTGAGTCAGATGGGAAGGTGGCACTTCCAAATCCAACCTGCTGCTCAGTATCCACAACTCCTAGCCAGCCCTCCTGGCCTGGCAAGTCAGTCCCTAAATCCTGATTATTTGCTTCTTACGTGGTTTGTTGTGCTCCCTGATCCAAATTGTTCCTTAACAACTCTAATTCCACACTAACTGTTTCCTTCCTCACCTTTTTATCCTTCCTTTAAGTGAACTTCCTACACACACACTGGACCCACACACAACCTTTCCTTCTGGTGCATCCACCTCCACGAGAGGGAACAAATTCCTGGCTGGACTGAAGTGTGATTAGTTAAAAGCATCGTCCCTCTTTCCACATTCCCTCCAAGCTCTGCAGCAGAGCAACTCCTGCCAAAAACTGCTTAGGTTAGAAGAATCCTCAATTATCCCAAGGACAAAGGGAAAGATGGATGGAACTAAACGTGCAGCTTCAAAGAAAGACAGGGCTCAATTTATTAATCTCTTGGTGCTTTTATTGATTCCAAAGAAAGGGTCGATTTGTGCCAATATTTTTTGGTGGGGGGGTGAATCTACAACCTAAACTGAAAGGACAGAGTTATTGTCACACTTACCTGCCCAACTTTGGAAAGTTTAAGCTCTCTTAGTGTGTAATCGTGTGCTGCGCTCTCCTTAACGTTCCGGACACGCATCACCCCGTATTCCTTCAGGGAATACTCATCAGGCCAGTACTTGACACATTTACTCTGCAAGATTTGAAACCAAAAAAAAAAATCAAAAAAAGATCAAACACAAAAGGAAGAATCAGCCAGAAAAAAAGGCTGTTTTGCAAACTGCTTAACATATTCCTGGAGCTTTAATTTCAGAAGACACAGAGAGGACAATTCCTCCCACCAACTGCTGACACGGTAAAGTGCAATTTAGGGGGAAGTTTCTCTTCTCCATAACAACCACTGGATGATTTCAAACAGGTACAGGCAATTTCTCCTCTTATCAGCTTCTGTGATCATATTAGAACCTGCTTTGCCTGGCTATTTTCAAAACCTGAAGATTAAAATATTGTATCTCCACCCAGCTACAGGTTTCAAAACACTGAATTGCCAGCAGGAAAGCTGCAGCCTTGCAGGTTATCCTACAACCAAAACCCCCACCAGGCTTCCAAAATAAATACAAGTAAACCATTTTTAGCAGCAATTCAACTTGGATGCTTGCTTTTTTTTTTAGGAAGGACTAACCCAGCTCTAATTCAATCCCCAGGGAGGTGCTCCCCGGGCAGGCACTGAAGCCTCCTGTGTCTGGGGCTTCTGGAATGCAAAGCTTTTGGTGCTCTGCTTCCCCATCCAGATTATCTGTGGCCAGGGATATATTCCATCCACTCAGGGATGGATTCACCTCTGGATTCCACTTGGATTTGCTTCCTGGGACGGGTCAGGAAAGAGCAACTCCAGAGAATGAAGCATGAAATGAGAAATTACAGCAGGTGCATCTTCCAGAAACTGCAAACACAGCCCAAACACCGAGGCCTACAGAGAAATATTGTCTTTTTGCAGCTCCTCCTGCATATTTATGAGAAAACACGGCACAAGGAAGTTTCTTCTGCCAACCTAAGAGAGAGGAAGAGGGTTGGAAACACAACTTGCAGCCTATTTAGGCAACAAGCTGCCTTTGTGTTATTTTTGCCCTTCTTTCCCTGTCATAAGGGGAGAAACTAAAGAAAAGATGTCGATCTTGGTGGGTTCCAACAGAAATAACTTGCAGTTTCAACACAGAGCTCTCTCTGAACACGAGAGCAGTTGGTAGAGCAAGTCTGAACAGTGACATGATGTTAAAATTAGCTTTATTCTGCCAGAGGGGTTGCATTTATTACTGGCTCCGTGGATTGGCTCCAAACCCCCACTATTTTAATTTGTAAGTATTTGCTGTTTCTGCAGAGCTGAGATGTCTCCCAGTTCCTCCTTTCCCTGGGCAATGTGCTCCTGAAATTCAGCTCTGGTGCAGAGGGTTCTCCTTCCTGCAGCTCTGAAATCTTGGCCTGAGATTAAAAAAAAGCTTTGCTTTTCCATCAGGGCTGTTATTTGCAATTCTTTAAGAAGTGAAATATTCAGCAAAAAAAACCCAACAAGAAAGGGTAGAGAAAAAAATCATCAATGCAGCACTGATGGAGTGATCAGGCATTGAAGTGTTTTCTCCAGCAAACTTTGGGAAGAATAATGGAGAAACTGCAGAGGAGAAAAGGCCATTCAGGAGGTTATTAAAAAAATAATAAATGACTCGAAGAAAAGAGAGGTGAACTGAAAGCAACTCTTCCAAAACAACCCCATAATTTATGTCTTCACTTCCCAAACAAAGAACTAAGAGGGATGTCACTGGAAAGGGGGAGCTTCTCCCTCCTTCAGTGCATTTTCAGGAAAGAAAACACAAATCCTGTCCCTTTTTAGGGGGATGAATGGGCAGAAGTTTAAAAGGCTCAAAAAAAGGATCCACAAGAGAAAGTGTAAACCAAATAAAGGCAGCTTTGACACCTCAGTTAGGGGGAGAAACCCATAAAATCCACTATTTGTCTTCAGCCCATACACACAAAGGCTGTTCTTGTAACAGGGCTGAGGAACCCCTGCAATTATCACTCACCCCTGGAAAAACCTCTCTGCACTTTTAAGTTGATTTTTTTCCCCAAGTGATGCTCCCTTAACAAGGTAGCAGCTTTCCATTCAGAACCAAATCATGGAATGGGGAAAAAGGGAAAAAGTTGGACAATGGTGATGGAAGAAGCAGAAAAAATTAGAAAAAAAAAAAAGAGAGAGAGCAGAAAGTGTTTATCAAACAGAAGAAGGATCAGAAGCCCCAAATTCCAAAGATAAATCCATACAATACACAGGAAGCTGTGTGTGAGTGTTGCCAGATCAGTGTTCAACTATTTCCTATTCTTTCCTGCCACATCTTCAGGAGCCAGAAACAAAGTTAAATCCTCAGGTTTGGCAGAGGACAGGGAGCAAGAGGAGATCAAAGGTAGAGGGAGGTTCTTGGGATAAACCACTGCAGGAAAATTTCGGTTTTGAGAGCATTAAATCCTGCCAGAGCAGCTCCCAGGGGGGTGGACAGGAAGCTGTGTCCATGCAGAAGGACCTGACTCAGGAATAAAAGTGCTAAATCCCACCTGGCTGGGGATTCCAACCAGGCATTTCCAGTTGGAATCACCAGCTTTTCCAGTGAAGTCTACCCAGGCTTGATCAGCTGAAATAAATGGCAAGGCTTTTGTTAGAGCAGCAACCCCTCCAAGCACACAGAATTCCTGCCTGGCTCCCTCTCACATTCCAGTGCCTCATTCCCTGACCAAGTTTAAAATGCACAGATTCACATTCAGTCCATAAAATTAAATCAGTCAACCCTTAGAACAGGGAGGCCTGATGGTATGACAGGAGTGTATCCTCAATTCCCACAGGACACTCAGCACCCTCCAGAGCTCCAAAGAATCTGGTGGCACACCAGATTCCAGATGTAAATCAGTTTATCCCACTCGCTTTAGTCCTCACTTGCCCTCCAATGCCATGACCTTTCCCAAGGCCAGCTGGGGCCTGATTTTACCTTTCCTCTTTCCACTTCTTTTGTGGTCATAACAATAACTCTGGAATTCTCCTGGAACACCATCCTCCAGAAATCATTCACTGTGTTCTGTAGGCAACCTTGAGTAGCAATGTAGCTTTTTTTTGGCTTGGAGTTGTTGCACTTGGTTTCAAACTCAGGCTAGAGAGAGAAAAATAAAAAAACAAACAATAATTCAACAAATGGTGACAAGACTCACCTGGATTTAGGTGAACATGTTCAAGAGGAGACATGGGATGTGCCAACAAGGCTCCTGGAGGTGGGAATATACTCACCATAATAATATTAGCATTGATATAATCTGAAACAGGTTCATTGGGATCCCCATCGTGAAGCACAACTCTGGTGTGATCAACTGGAAGAATAAAAACAGATGATAAGCACCTGCAGCCTACGCTTGTGAACACACAGAAGCCTCTAAGTTGCCAAACTCGGTAAATTAGTGATTAGAATATCCCAAACTTCCTCTTTTGCTGCTTCTTGCCATGACAAGCTCGACCAAAAGAAGGCTCCAGGTCCCCTGGTAACTCAGGAGCACACGGACAGTCAAACAAACAGCCTCTGGATTTGCACGCTGCAGTTTCGGCCAACAAATTAATCCTCTTAAATTTAAGTATTTCAGCTTGTTGAATAACATTTAGGGGATGGGAGGCTTTGAAATGAAAGCTTAAGATAAAAGAAACCCAAAATTGGGGAATGGAAAATACGGGTATCTCCAAAGTGCAAGTGCTGGAACACAGAGTGGGAGTCACACGGGCTCCTTCTGACAACAGAAAGGGGGAAATTATCAACACCGAGAAGCAAAAGCCCAGTGGTGCTTAATTAACCCTGTGTTTGGGAGTTGAGAAAGCAAAGCCTCGAAGGGCAGCAGGGCTGAGGTGACAAAGACAAATCAATACTTACAGGGGAGGATGTTTTTGTATCTATTTTTGTTCTTGTTCTCCTGGCGCTGCCCTTCCTTACGGCTGTAGAGGAGTTTGCATTCCTGCTGCTGCAGAGTCTGAGGGGAAACAGTACAAAGGCCTGGCTCGTTTGAGGCAGGATGGACTGTTCCCCACCATCCCAGCAATCCCTTCTCCCAGGGAAAGGGGGAATGAGGAAAGTACAAACAGGGTTATCCATAAATCCTCCTGGTCCAGAAACGCAGCCGAGCGGGGATTTCTCCCGCTCATTGCTCAGTTCCTGGTGCAGGATGGATGTGACAGGGACAACAGCAATTCCAGACTTTTCCAGCCATGCTCCTTAGTGGCATTTCTCCCTCTTTCAATGAAGCTTCTGGAGGGACCGGAATTCCAAAGCTCTGCTCCAAGTTTTAATCCCCAAAGCAGCACCGGCCTGGCTAAAAGGAACATTCAGGCTCTGGAAGTTGCTCCCCTGGTTATTCCCACCCTTAAGACCCTCCCAGGGATTGCTTTTACTTAAAGCTTGGCCATGTCAGGGCACATTTGCTCAGCCCCTGTCACTGTTGCTGCCTCACTTCATGACCTTGGACAATTAGGTTCATCCTAAAGACAAAAAAAAATCAGAAGTGCCAAATTTTATGCCTGTGAAGCAAAAGGCAGAAAGCACATCCCTATGAAGCATTTCCCGTGGAATCCGAGCAAAAGCGAAACTTTTCAGCAGGTTGAAAAAATTGAAGCAATTAAGTGTGTGGAAACCACAGCTTCAAACCCATCTTGCTTCACAGAGTTAATTATTATTGCTTGGAGCCTCCCTGAGGAGAGATCCATGAGCAGCAGCGACTCCTAACAAGCCCATTAAGGGATGTGCACAATGCAACCATCAATCTGCAGCATCCTCCTCGATTCCACTGCAACACCCAAGCACAAAGCTCCCCAAATAACCATTTTTCAGAAGGAAAAACATTACAAGGACTGTCAACATTTCTGTCTGCTGGTTCACGGGACAAGAGGTACATTCTTGCCTGCAGACAAGTAATTTATAACCACCATCTGGGCTGGCAGCTCAGAAACAGCACAGACAGAGATCCACGGGCAACCTGGAGTTTGCTCCCTGACTCCTGCCACCAAGGTGGACAGCTGGAGCTTCCCTGAGGTGAGTGGAAAAGGATGGCACTAAAACTGCCGGGAGATTGTTTCATTTCCAGAAAAACCCACCAGGTTTAGTGCTGACCTCACTAACAGCAGTGAAGGGGAAAGAGGAGACCAAAGTCTCCCAGGTAAAAACTTCTTCCATTTACTTCCCCTGTAAGACTTTTCCTGGCTTTTAAGGACCCACTGATAAATCCATCACAAGACAAAGTTATTCAACACCAGAGGTCAGGAAAGTCCTAATTGTGAATTAATAGCTCAGTTATATTTCAATAGAGCAACACTCCCTTCATGAACTCATCACACAAGAGAACCCCCCTCATTAACTCAGAGCTCCCAGTGAGTCAGCACCAGTTACAAGAAGACAACTGGGCACATTTTTTTTCCTTTTTTATGCCCTCTGAATAAGAGCAAGACACTCTTGAGACTTCAGGAAAGCCAACAGACACCCTTTGCTTGGCTAATTTGGAAATGTTGGGCTAAACCCCACAGGAATCACAGGCACAATGTCCGTGGCTGTGTCATGGAATGACAGAACACACACTCCTCACTTGGCCAAAGCAGTAATTCCCACAAAAGCCCACTCAACCTTCCCAATCTTCCAGGCCCCAGGTCCAAGTTCATGTGTTGAGTTCAGCAAGGAAGGCAGCTCAGAGGCCAATTTACCTCCAGGCAAAGCTCACAAGCAGTGGGTGAGAACTGCTCCCGTGGGATCCCCCATCCCACTGCCAGGACAAAGCAGAGGCTCAAGGCTCAGCAGTGGCCAGAGCAGGAATTGTGACCATTCTGACCATTCCCAGCCCTGGCTCTAGGACTGTCCCTCCACACTGGGCACATGGGGAGAGGAGAAAGCTTAATCCTCATTTTATCATTTCCCCCTGCCACAAGTTCATCTTCTGATATTCCATCCGCACTCGTAGTGAAATGTGTCACCCCTTTGGTAACTCTTCCACTTTTCATGGATTCCTTTCCCCCCTCCTGACAATGCTCTCAGAGCACACTGGCGAGGACATTTAGCTAATGGATATCTCTTATCTAAAAACAGTTTCTCCAAGAAGGTTGCTTTGCAAACCTGTCACTATTCAAGAAGTTTCTCCAAACAGCATCACAGCCCAAACCAGCCTCTGGCACAGCCCAGCACTTCCCAGTTCCCTGTTGCCATCTGCTGGTGGAATTCCAGACTCCACCGGTGGTTTCCTCATGGGTGTGTGTGTGGTATAAACCAGTCCATGATATAAACCCTGGAGTGCTCCAGGATAAGTTGGACGGGGCTTGGAACAACCTGGGCTAGTGGAAGGTGTCCCTGCCCATGGCAGGGATGAGATGAACTTGTTGGAAGAGACTTTAAAGCTCATCCCATTCCACCCCCTGCCATGGGCAGGGACACCTTTCACTAGCCCAGGTTGCTCCAAACCCCATCCAACCTGGCCTGGGACACTTCCAGGGATGGGGCAGCCACAGCTTCTCTGGGCACTCTGTGCCAGGGCCTCCCCACCCTCACAGGGAGGAATTGCTTCCCAATATCCCACCTAAACTCTCTTTCAATTTGAAGCCATTTGCACTCTTTCTGGGAGGATATTGGAATTTGGCATTGCAAATTAAAATTTTGGCTGCAGAGCAGAAATAAAACCCCAAAACTAACAAAAAATAGAGCTCCAGAAGTCCAACGAGCGCATTTAATCAATTCTGCTTCCTCTCAGATCTTGTTATCTCTACACAACAGCTTTAAGATCCCCAAAAGTGACCATCAAAAGGCCAGAATGGCCATCAAAAAGCCAAAAGGAAAGGGTGTTTACTGACTGAGAAATCCCATGGGAGTTTCCTTAAAGCCATCGTCCCCAACTTCCCAAAGGAGGAAGGAACCCAATGGATTGTCCTGGTGGGTCAGTGGCACATGAAGCTCCCTCCTGGTGTGGTGGGGAGAATATCCAGGAGGGATTGTGCCAGGTACTGGATGAACAGCACTGAAGAAAATTCTAAACTCTCAGACTGAGGGAAAAACTCAAATATTTCCCTCGCCAGGAGTGGGGCTGGTAAAATTAAACACATGGAGATGGGAGAACAACAGGGATCTGAGGCAACAGAGGGAGGAAGCATCAGGAAGGCAGCAACAAACCTAGAAAAACTAAAAAATCTTAGCTTTGAGTAGTGCAGATTTAATCCCACAGCCCTTGGAATGCACTGAAGTACCTCAAACTCCTCCCAGAAGCCCTGCTTGACTTTGTCCGTGGTCTCGGCCAGCTTGCTGAGCTCCCGCACGCGGCTCTCGATCTCGGCGGCGTTAATTCGGGTCGTGTTCAGGGGCTGAGAGACACAGACAGCAGAGGTTGGACAAAAAGCTACTGGGAAAAGACAACTAAAACACAATCCTCTAAGCTAAGGGTGTTTTATACAGGAATTCTTGGGTCCAAGCACCTCTTTGCGTTCAAAACTTTGGAGTTCACGCAAGAGGGGCAGCAAGGAAGGGACAGGGAGCAAGTGCTTTTAGTCTTTATTTCATACATGAAGTCCCTCATTTCTGGACTCTCCTTGCAATCCCTGTGGACCACAATGGCACTGGGAAGTTCTGACACATCAGGGGCAAGTTTATCCCTTTACAGGCATGAAGGAGATTTGTTTCCCATTTAAATGACTTTGTTTCACGGAGTTCAGTTCTGCATTTTTGCACTAGGAAAGAAAAGGTCTTGCAGGACACACGGAAAAGCTGCACTTCCACAATACATCCTGAAGGTAGCAGAACTCTGGGGTGTCTTCTCCATTCCCTCACCTGTTTGAGCTGCAGCACCGTGCCCAAAGTCTCCACCATGGGGTTCTTCTTGTAATGTTCCACCAGGTCTGTCAGAGAGTCGAACTTCTCCCCTCCCCCAACGTCGTATTTCAGCTCCTTCCAAGACAGATGCTCATCAGAACAAATGCACTTCACACCACGACACCTGCACTGACAGCACCTTTGGGCTGTGCACCGTGGCAGAAATGATCTTTAAACCACATGCAGAAGAATAAAATCCTTCTGAGGGATGGCAGAACCTCAACAACAGAAACACACAGACACTGTGGAGGGCATCAACCTTTTGGTCATTTCACTGAAAATCAGTTTATCTGGGGTTCAGTCAGCTCAAGATACTGGAGCTACAGGATGAGAATCCAGGAATTAGGAATTTGAATTGATTGCCAAAGCTAAATGTGCCCTGAAAGGCTGGTACTGCCTGGCACCTGCCTATTTTAAGGAAGCAATGCCAAGTTATTTTCCTCAGTGTCATAAGTGCTACTACTAGTCAACTGCAAATCAAAGAGGGTTTCTTAAAACATAAAAATATTCTGGTAGTTTAGTTTTTACAAGGTCCTTGTAGGCCATTTCTGCCTCCAAACTATTTCAGTTATTCCAGCTTAATTGTTTTAATACAATTAAGTTGTTGCACTGTCTTCTGGCATAACAGAAGTAAAAGAAAATGACAAAAAAATAAAACACCTGATGGAATTTTGGTGCTGTCAAATGAGTGCAGTGGATCAAACACCTGAGCTGTGTCACCCACACGGAAAGAGGGTGGATCCAGCAATCCGTGGGGAGGTGGAAGGTGAATTCCTGCTCAAATCCCACAGCCCATGGAATTCCCTGCTAAAGGAGCCCGTGGTTTCCGTACCTGGCAGTGGATCATGACGTGTGTCACCTTGGATTTGCCATCATTGCTCTCTCCTTTATCATCTCCTGTCCTCACAGAGAGGACAAAGTCCCCAGGGTGGCTCTGGCTCTCCCGCACAAGGAAACTTCCATGTTTGCCTTTCTCTGTTAAGAGCTTTTCAGCTTCTCTTCCAGAGAGGTGTCCATGAAACCACCTTCAAATAAAGATATAGAGAGATTTCTCTTTAAATAAAGACATACAGAGATCACTGCAGCCATGGCTGAATCCACCTGTTCCAATTATTTATTATAAAATAGAACCTTTGTGTTCACTGAACATTGTCCAGCTCCACAGGAAGCCTCAGTTGATAAAAATAATATATAAGATCAGCCTTGGAAGTCCATGCACACACAGGAGTGAAGACAGAAACACTTCAAAGCACTTCCACAGGTGCTGACATTTGAATTTCACACACTTTGATGTGGATCCTGCACAACAATCCCAGTGGAGTGTCCAACAAACACCAGCTCACACTGCAACCCCCTCCTCAGCCAAGGTGGTCATTCTGCTTTTATTTCCTTCATGAAGTCACACTCTCCTGATAAACCTGTGGGAACTTCACATCTTTGAGGCCTTACCCTTCCATCCCATTAGGAAGTGGACAGGATAATGCCAGCAATCCCATTTCTTCAGGAAATAAAGCCAAAAAAAGCAACAATCCTCCCCACCACTGTTCAGTAAAAGACACTCTGAGCAGTGAGAGAACATGTGTGGATATTTTCCCTTGTTCTTCCACTTCTGGGGATAAACAGATACCTGCTGGTCACAAAGGTTTATTTCTGACCCCTCTATAATTCCTCAGGTTTAAAATCTCAGGTTCTCCTTATTAACCACGTTCCTCAAACCCAGGATTGGAGGAATTTGAGGATTTGTACGTCATTCACATTTTCACACGGCTAGAAAAGTTCTATAGTTATAACTAGAACTGTAAATTTATGTTCAGAAATGGACCTGGGAATTCCTTGCAGCTTCACAAGAACTTCTACACTAAAACATTCTCCCAGTTAAAATAAAGGGAATTATTCCCTCCTTGTATCACACAAGGAAGAACGTTGAAGGAAACAGGTTCTGAGGCTTAAATTGCTTCACCTTTAGCCATATTTATCAACCTACTTTGCAAGGAAGCTCCCAGAAATTACTCCAAGACAGTGGCCACCCTTTCCTCAAATGCAACCTGGCTGCAGGGTTAGGAGGGACAAAAGGGCGTTTATTAAGAAGCAGGTGGACGCTGAGGTTCCACCAGCCCTTCTCTGACCTCTCTGACGTAGGATCAGCACAGTTCAGCGGATACTTCAACTCTATGACGTCTCCATTCTTCTCCTTGAGCTGCCCATGGTGTTCCATGTAGTACTGCACCAGCTCAGCCAGCGTGGCAAACTTCTCTCCCCCATAGAGGTCATAGTAGTCCCCCGTGTTCTGGATCTTGATGTGGGTCACGGCTCCAGTTCGTCTGGTATTGGGAACACAGGGAAAACCCCCCACAGATCAACTGATGGTAAATCAATGCCTTTTATATTGAGTGTTCTGCTGCCTGAGCTGCAGAAATCCATACTCCCATTTCAGCACTCTGCAGCTGAATATTGCAGAGGAGCAGAGTTACTGACCCTCTCAAGTCGCTCCAGACACACTGCAGTGGCTTGTCTGTCCAAAAGCCAGGAAAAATAGGAAAAACCATCTATACTGAAGGGATCCTTGAAGCCAGTGCAAGCTCTGCAGCCTCACAGTCTCCACTAGGAACCCCTCAGAGCCCCAGAACTGCTCCCACAAGCACAAGGGTGGAGGGGTCAGAATTCAGCATTCAAAGAGACCCGTCAGAGCTGGTCTGCTCCTATTCCCAGAACTTCCCAGCAGCTCCTGAGGTCTCTCCTCAGTAAACAGTTTTGCTCCCACAGTCTCCAATATTAAGGAAGAACAGCTCCCTGCAGGATTCCCCTCCTGTGCCTCAAGGCTTGTTATCTCAGAAGCACCAGAATTCTTATCACCAATCCCACTTTTCCCTTTCCCTTTATCTACTTCCTCCTGCTGCCCTTTCCCCATCCCCACCACTGGACACACAGGGGACAACTGGCACAAAAGGCCTGTTTTGGAAGCTGAAAAAGCATCACAGTTGCCCTCAAAAACTTGCTGACTTTTCCTGTACGAGGAGAGGCTGGAGAGCATTTCCTGCACGTGCTTGATCCCTAATTCCCATCATCTCTGATGGTTATCAAACAGATTTTTAAAGGGCTAAAAGTAATGCTGTTATCAACCTACTTTTGCTTCCCCTGAACCTTTCTGTCCCTCTAAGATCAGAATTCACTCCCCTCCAATCTATAGTTTCCCCAAGTTGGGTAAAATTTGAGGGAGGGAGGGAAAAGGAGGAAAAGAAGAGGGAAAAATGAGCACTAAGAAGTGATTTGCACATTATTTCACCTCTCACAAGTAGTTCATCCACAACTTTTTCCCTGCAGAACAACATTAAATGAAGACCTTTATCAGTCTGGGGAGAAGGAGTGAAAATATTTCAACTCACCTGACAGAGAGGGTAAAGTCTCCTGGGTTACTTTTGCTGGGCCGTGCCAGGAAGCTGCCATCCACCCCTCTTGTTAACAGCAGGTTTTCTGCCTCCACCCCAGTAATATTTGGATGAAACCATCTACAAGAGATTAAAAATAAAGAATCTTAATAAATAAACAGAAGGTCTCCTGGTTTTCAGACTTAACTTCCACAGGATTAAACAGAGCGAGGAAGGGCTGAATTCTGGTGCTAAATTAATTTAAAAAATCTCCATTCATTATTTGTTTCGTACTGCACTGCAATTTTGTGTATTGGCAAGAGATGCTCTGCAAGGGAAAGAACTCCATTCACACATACTGGGTTAAAATGGTATCAAAGACACACAACATAAACACAGAGCAGAAGTCCCATTTCCTTACTCCAGGAAGACACAACACACAAAGAAACTCAGAGACAAACAGGAAAAACACCTAAAAATAAAACCAAAACATCCCAAGTGCCACTTGACGACATTTTGAAAGGTTAAAAACGCAACAAAACCTCATGTTTTAGGGCACAGGCTGAGAGGGGGCAGGAAAGCAACTCCACTTGAGGACAACCTGCTCTTCTTCCACCTTCTCCAAAGAATGCGGCGCTGGGGTCGGATAAATCCCACTTAAATACAACCCCAGAGGAATCTCAGATTGATCTTCACCACCCACAAAGGGCCCTGAATGACTAACACAGAGCCAAGGCTGGAGCTGGGCTGTGGCCAAGAGGATCCACGTCCCACCTCTGGCATTAAGTTCGGAGAGGCTCATCCGGAGCCGTTCCGTAACGCACCTGCCTTTGCTCTTAGCTGGAATTCCCAAGTTTTATTGCACTCCTGGAGCACTGCCTAACGTCCCTGTGCTCTGGATGAAAGGCTTTGTCACACTCGTATTTGGCAATGAAGAGACCATCTTTAATTTTCAGAATTCAATCAGGAAAATCCTCATCCCTCTTTCCCTTTATCTCCTTCTACTGAGAAGGAAGAACTGAGGCTGCTGCTCTTGGTACAGGAAGTTTTGGCTTCTCCAAAGCAACACAAAAGACTCCATAACCAGTCTCTTTACAGAGATAGGAGTGTTAGAGCTACAAAAAATTCCATAGCATTCCTGAGCCTTCCTGATCCAGTCAGCATTTCATGCTAAATTGCTAAATCAGCAAAATACGAGAGCGCAAATCTAAATTTAGGACTATTAATTGAATTGCTTCAGCAATTCCTTCTCTGCTGAAAAGCTGACAATATTCCTACCAAGGCCTCATCCAGCCTGTTCTCTTCGGAAGTGGATTCTCAGGGAAACCTTCTGAAGAGTTTTAGAGATTCTAGAATATTATTATTAATTATATTTATTAAGTAAATGATTCTTCTTCATCTTGCTTTTTTCGCCTAGTTAATAATATTCTGCTTACGTCAAGATAATCTAGTGAAAGCTCACTATTTTTCACTGAAAAACATCAAAAATCAAAACTATGCAGCACAGGACAGGAGAAAATGTTAAAATACTTCCAAGCTATCACAGCAAGTGGGAATGAATTAATTAATCATGCTACATTTATGTAATGACTACTCAAAGGTCAAGAAAAGGTCTGGTTTGATGCAGTGTAAAAAAAAAAAAAATTTAATGCACAGAGGGCACTACAAATAACTTGTTATTTAACAAGTATCTAAAGGAGAGGTTAAAAAGACGACACACTGTGTAAAACCCCAAATCTCACCCCCCAAAACACACAGAAATTCCAACGGAAGATGCCAAAAGCCGAGCGCAGCAAAGCCAAGCTCCACCTGGGAGGGTGATGGGTTTTATTGCACTTTATATAACTTTGGTTCTGATGGCAACTTGTCCTCCTGCTCCCTCGTCTCTGTATTTTTGGCTCTGAGTAGGAAGGTGCATTTGTCAGGCACCCCAAATAGAAAAATGGGGGTGTCAGTGATCCCTGCTCGGCGGTTCCGGCCCCGGGAGCAGGAGCTGCATTTGAAGCGCTGCCACCACATGTGTGTCCTTTGAACCTTGGGCTGCATCCCTTCCAAAACAAAAAAACTAAACAAACTGGAGGAGAGAGCACACACCCCCCAGTAACACAACCCCCAGCCAGGACCTTCTCCTGCACTTCCTTTTATAGGGATGGAATGCATTTTGGGCTTTTTATCCTGCTTTCCCTCTCCAGTCTCTCCCAGCAGCAGGTGCAGAGCTCTCCCAGCCAAGGGCAGTAAATACAATCACAGGAGTAACACAACACACACAAACCCACACTCTGATTAAACTGGCTCCTCACCATCATTCCCAGTAGCAATTCCAAGTCAGGGGTCGGGACACACCATTCCCAGTCCCTCATTAATTTACAAGGTCGGTAAAAGAGCAGGGTCTCATTTACAGAACTCAGGGGCATCAGCTAAGCAAGGAACCTTTTGATGAAAAATAATTCATCCCTTTTTTTTTTGTAATCATTGTCCAGAGAAGGATCTGTGCTCCTCAACTCCCACACTGCCAGCACATTTCCCTCTTAGCAAATGAAGAGAGAAAAAGAGAGAAATCAATACAATTTTCCATGCTGGGATTGGGTTTTTCTAATCCCCTTTCCAAGAGCAGGGGAGATGAAATCAGCCCTGTCTCAGCTGTCACAACCCCAGCACTCAGGAGGCACTGATGGGTGGGTTAATTACTCCTATTTTTAGGCTCATCAGTTGATATTTCTCAGCTTTTTTTCAGTCTCCCTCACATGTTACAATCTCAAGCTCTGAGCAGAAGCAGCATTTCCAAAAGGTAACTTGTTCTGCCAGGAAGGGTGCAAGTTGTCAGCAGGGCCATCCAGAACACCCAACATGCACTGGAGATCCTACACAGGCTCAAAAACCCCCAAATCCAACTATAAATGGCCACGCATTGAACCCAACCCATACAGATCCACCTGCTTAAGCAGGACAAGAGAGAGGACAATTCACCATGAAGAAATTAGAGTTTAATAGGTATTAGTTATTCATAGAAGTGAATTAAAGAGGTGAATCAATGGAAGCTGTGGCTGCCCCATCCCTGGAAGTGTTCAAGGGGGTTTGGAACAACCTGGTGTAGTGGAAAGTGTCCCTGCCCATGGCAGAGGGTGGAATGGGAGGAGCTTTAGGGCCCCTTCCAACCCAAACCATTTGGTGGTTCTGTGAATCTCAGAATAGGTATAAAAAAGGACAAAGATATTTATAATCTTTTCTATGACAGTAATTCCTCTCAAGTCTAACGTTCACCTAAACCTCTCAGCCCCAAAGGGCACCTAATGCCAGACAAACACCAAGTTACCTTATGGGCAACGAGAAGCTACAACAAAAAAAATGCTGTTTATCATCGTGGTTTTCAGCTCCACTGGGGTTTGGAATCAACGTGAGTGCTGATGATAAATGAAGAGCGCAGGGAAGGGGCTCAGGAACTCTCACTGCACAGCCGGGTCACCTTTGAGGGTCGGGAAGTCCCCAGTGCCGGTCCCGTGATGGCAACACGAGTGCCCCCGGCCCCGGCACTGGGTGGGTGCCACGCACAATGAACTTCTCTCTCAGCTCATGGGATCGTGAGGAGACATCCCCTGAGCCCCCGAAATCGGGGGACCGGGGCAGCTCCGGCCACCGAAACCACCGGGACCCCTCGCCGTCCCTCGGGACATCCCCCCGGGAACGGAAGAGGTGGGGGGTGCAAGAGCGGGGAGATCCCCCCGGGAATGGGAGGTGGGGGGTGCAGGAGCAGGGGGGATCTCCCCGGGAACGGGCCGGGAGGGGGTCATTCCTCCGGGAAAGGGAGGGGTGGGAGCTGGGGGATGCAGTAGCAGGCTGATTCCCCCGGGAACGGGCGGGGTAGGGGGTGTAGGAGCGGGGGGGATCCCTCCGAGGACGTGCGGGGTGGGAGGTGGGGGATGCGGGAGCAGGGACATCCCCCCGGGAGCGAGCGGGATGGGCGCCGCCGGAGCGTGTCCCGGGGGTCCCGCCCGTCCGTGGGGAGCCCCCCCGTGCCCGCAGCTCCCCGGTCGAGGTGGACGGGGCTCCCCGCGGCTCAGCGGCCCCCGCGCCCCTCCTGCCCGCCTCACCTCCGCGATGTCATCTTCCCGCGGAGCCCCGGCGGGTGGCGGTGCCCGGGCCGCCCGTGCCCGCCCGCCGCTCACATCGGGGTCCCGGCGGGGCCTGCGGGGAGCGCGAACAGCGGCGGCCTCGGGCCCCGGAGCGCGGCGAGCGCGGCGCGGCCCGCCCCGCGTCACCGCCCGCGCCGTCATCGCCCCGCGCCGCGCCCGCCCCGCCCCGCCCCGCGGGGCCGCCCCGCACGGGGGGCTGCGGGACCCCCGGCACCGCCGCACGGAGCCGCCGCAGCATCGCCCGAGCGCGGGGCAGGGCGCGGGGGGGGCTGCACGGGTTTAGCTACGCGGGTTTAGCGGCAGAGGCGCGGCGAGGCTCCCCCTCCGTTCCGCGGGTCCCGCAGTGCCCGTGGGGGGTCGCGGGCGCGGTGCCCCCTCCCCGCTGCAGCGGGGCCGGCCCGGGAGGCGCGGGCGCTCCGGGACTACAAGTCCCGCGGTGCCCCGCGCGGCGCGGTGACGTCATGCGCGGCGCTGGGGTTACCCCGCGCGGTCCCGGATGTAGGGCCCTTTCCCCCCCGGAAGGTGAGGATGGCGGAGCTCTGAGGGACCCGCGGGGCCCCCGCGCTGCATCCGCCGCCATCCGCGCACCCCGCGGGCACCGGCGCGGCCCGCGGCTCTCGGGGGACGGCGGGGGGCCGGGGTGGGCGCGGCGGGGCGAGAGGAGCGGCAGTGTCGCGCCTGCCTCCGGGCGGGCCGGGCCGCGGCGGGATGTGGAGGCCGCGCCGGAGAAGCGGGAATGGGCTGGGCTGGGCTGGGCCGGGGCTGGGGCTGAGCGGGGCAGGCCCATGACTGTCCCGGCTGAGACCACCGGGGATAGAGGCGGTGTTTGCGTGTCCGCGGGTTTCGTGCTGGGTGCATCGCTGAGCTCGTCGCTGCTGTAAGCAGCGCGGAGCGACGTTTTGCGGGGAGCAGTGGTTGCTCAGCCGCGGCCATAAGAGCCGGCTGACAACTTGTCAGGTGTAAGGGATCGCTTCGATTCTTTTGTTTGTGTCACTGGAAGTGTGCGCACCTTGTACTGAGCCCCAGTTTGTGCGGTCCCCAGATGGCGGGTGAGAAGGCGCCCGCGGAGAAGAAGCCGGCCAAGAAGAAGGCAGGAGAGAAGAAGCCGGAGCAGAAGCCGAGCCAGAAGGCAGCCGGGGACAAGAAGAAGAGGGTGAAGAAGTACCATGCGAGCAGGAACCCCGTCCTGGCCCGCGGCATCGGGAGGTATTCCCGCTCTGCCATGTACGCCAGGAAAGCCCTGTACAAGCGCAAGTACACGGCTCCAGAGACAAAGGTGGGACGGGAAACACCGTGTGTGAGCCACTAGGATGCCTGTGGGTTGAAATGCCAGGAGTAATCCCTGTTCTTTGCCTACAGATAGAAAAGAAGAAGAAGGAGATGCCCCGCGCCACCATCACCAAGCCAGTGGGTGGAGACAAAAATGGAGGCAGCCGGGTGGTTAAAATCCGGAAAATGGTATGGAAAAGCAGTGGGATGCTCGTGGTTTGGGGCTTGGTCTGGGTAACCTTGGACTGGGTGAGGTGCCTCTTGCCTGAGGCGACGTAGGGACCTCATCCTGAGCTGTGAACTGTTGGCAATGCTCACCTTGAGACTCGGTGTTCTTGGGAGAGGGTGGAATTTAGGGTCGGAATTTCGGGAATGGTTGTAGGCAGAATTGGGTTCTGTGCCGTTTGTATTGCTGTGCTGAGGTGGAAGCACACCCAGAAGCACAGAGCTGGCTGCAGCTCCCACTGTGCAGCACTGCCCAGGAGACATTCCGTGTGCTCCCATCACCGGCTGCAGCAGAAACAAGTCCTTCAGAAAGCTGGGCGATGGGGAGAATCTCGGTGAGGGGTTTCTGCCCTGTGGAGTGCAGGTGTTTAACCACGTTGCTCCTGTTCCCCCCAGCCCAGGTACTACCCCACAGAGGATGTGCCCCGCAAGCTGCTGAGCCACGGCAAGAAGCCGTTCTGCGAGCACAAGCGGCGGCTCCGCGCCTCCATCACCCCGGGCACGGTGCTCATCCTGCTCACCGGGCGGCACCGCGGCAAGGTGAGCCCCCCATGGTGCCCCACAGGGAGCTGAGATACCCCACATTTACCAGCTGATGTCACTGCTCAGCCACTGGGTGCAGATCCGTGACTTGTGTCTGGATGCTCCCTTGCCCGGCCATGAAGGGATGCAGATTTTAAATATTTTTTAAAGTAGTGTTTTGCTGCACGGAGCTGGGAGTAGAACAGGCTAATCCAGTGGCTTAGACAAAATTAAAGGAGCCTTGCTGCAGTGCAGAGCAGCAGACCCAGCTCATATTTCTGTTGCTGCTGCAGCAAAGGCAGAACTTGGTCTTTTAATAGCTATTGCAAAGGAAGAATTACATTTTCATTCTTAATCTAATTATCAAGGTAATGATTGTTAGATTGTATACTTCATCTTAATGATGGTTGTTAACATTATTTACATCCTTTATTTTCTTGAATATTCTGGCATTATATCCCATTACATAAAGGATGTTGTTCAGGGAAGGCAAACTTGACCACAAATAACAAGACCCGGCTGTAGTTTGGATCTCAGGGTGGCAGTTCCTCAGGTTGCAGAGCTGCACCCACAGCTGGAGCACTGTCAGTGGCTGTACCAGTAACGGGCCCAGGGTGGGCACAGTCCCAGCTTGGCTGTGGTACTGGAGTGCTGGCACCTGAGGACTGATGGCACATCCCATTCCTTTACAGCGTGTTGTCTTCTTGAAGCAGCTGGACACTGGCCTTCTGCTGGTTACAGGTGAAAACTTCTACATACTTGGCAATATTTTGGTTTGGGGTGGGGATTCTGGGGCTTTGGGGTGGGTTTACCAAGCCCAGGTTTGTCTCTGGGGTCAGTAGCACAACCACTCTGCGTGTGGGTGGTTTGGGACATGGTGTGTTCATGGGACAACGTGGAGTCACGTTTTGTGGTGGAGTCCCCATCCCTGGAGGTGTTCAGGGAATGACTGGACGTGGCACTCAGGGCTCTGGGCTGGCTGACAAGGTGGGGATGGGTCACAGGTTGGACTTGATGGTTTGGGAGGTCTTTGCCAGCCTGAATGATTCTGGGATTTGTGACTTAGCAGGAAGCAGGAGGGGAGATAATTAAGCTTCAGCATCTGACAACCTGGAAGAAACCAGGAAGCATTTTTTGGTATTTCTTGAGGGGAAGGGCTTTAAATGTTCAGATTGTAGTTGTTGGCATCTCTGAAGGAAGTAGTCATCACATCTACTACACATCTCTGTGCAGTCATCACATAAACTACAAAAATTGAACTGTTTGCACCAGAAAAGCTGATTTTGTTCTCTTCCCTCTGCCTTCAGGCCCCTTGGTTGTCAACCGTGTCCCCCTGCGTAGGGCCCACCAGAAGTTTGTTATTGCCACATCTACAAAGGTTGACCTCACTGGAGTGAAAATTCCCAAACATCTCACCGATTCCTACTTCAAGAAGAAGAGGCTGCGGAAGCCCAAACACCAGGAGGGCGAGATCTTTGACACTGAAAAAGAGGTAAGAGAAGGGGTGGTCTGTTGGTCCTGAATTCCTATGTGACCCCAGGCTCCAAGGGGGGGAATAGCAGGGAACAAACAGCTGGATTTTAAGTGGCCCTTAATCAGATGAGGTGATGCCATTGAAATGGATAAAATACAGCATTGAGATAAAACCCTGCTAAATTTGGGGGGTTTTCTCTGTTTGTACCTCAGCAGACCAGCAGAAGGGATTATTCCAGCTAAATAAGAACTATAAATCTCTTTTTTTAAAAGAGTGAGAAACACCTTTCCTTTTTGGATCCTGCCAGCGGCATAAGCCAGACAGTGGCTTCAGTGCTGAGCTACCTCTGGTCTCCCACCTCATTCCCCTGATTAAGAACAAATGAAGATTCCTTGGAAATGCCAAAACTTTGGGTTTTCCATGAATTTTCTCCTCTCTGCAGAAGTTTCTGAGGTGACTGTGCAGGGTTTTAACGTTCTTCTCTGTGCTCTGCAGAAATACGAGCTGACAGAGCAGCGCAAGGCAGACCAGAAGGCCGTGGATTCCCAGATCCTGGCCCGGATCAAGAAGGTGCCTCAGCTCCGTGGGTACCTGCGCTCCACCTTCTGCCTCTCCAACGGAGTCTATCCTCACAAATTGGTGTTCTAAGCCTTCTGAAAGCACCACATTAAATTCCAAGGGAAAAAAAAAAAAAAAAAAGCAAGGATTTGTGGTGTGTTCATTGCGATCTGTGACAGCACGTGTTGCACAAGGCTTGCAGTGCGTGATTTAACAGGTAGAAAAGTGCCCGTGGCATGAAATTCTGAGGGACTACAAACAGAAATTGAGCTTTCTTAACTTTGAATGAGCTGGGGAGGGATCTTGAAGAGATTCTCTTTTGGGCATAGCAGATAATGCTGGGTTATCACAGTGCACAATAAAACCCGGCCCAATTTCTGCTGACACAACTTCTTCCACCCTTGCTGTGCTGAAACCAGGGCTTTGGGGGTTTTTTGAAGAGAACCAGCTCTGGGAATAAAACTCTGCAGGTAACTCAGCATTTTAAACCTTGTGAGCAGCTCTTGAGATGGTGTTTGACAAACAGCTTTGATCCCTCACTCACCACGTGAACCTCAGCAAATACAGAACTTATTTAGAGGCATTTCAGGAGCTATGCCTTGGATTTTAAAATGGAAACACTGGGAATAGTTGAGTTTTGCACAGTAACTTGTCCCTGGAACCATAACAATGTCCCTTTCCTCTTTGTTTATCCTTGTGGGATGGGATTCTGTTAGTTGGGAGGAATACAACCTGCTTGGATCAGAAGGCAAATCCTAAATTCTGTAGGCTTGGAAATTGGTTCAATAACAAGCTGTTCCTGTGATAGGGAAGTATTTTTATATTCTGGGAGACTTCTGGAGTCTCAGTAAGTTTTCTATCTCTAAAACTTCTTGAAAGTGAGTTGAAAAAGTTAATCCTGTGTGTTTTCTTTATCTGTCACAGTCAGCAATCTGGAAGAGGGTGCTTGGGTAGCAGTAGCTCTGCTCTTACAAAAACCAGGGATGTACATATTAACAAACCTGGCAGGCTGGAGCTCTCTCTTAGCCAGACTTCTGCAGGAATGGAGGATTATGTAACTGCACCATCT